CCCGGGAACCTTCTGCCTGCCCAGCCCCGCGCCCTCTCTGCTCTGCAGCCTGGCGCAGCCCCCCGAGGCGCCCTTCGTCTACTTCAAGCCGGCCGCGGGATTCTTCGGCGCGGGCGCGGGCGGCGGGCCGGAGCCGGGGGGCGCGGGGACGCCGCCCGGGGGAGCCGCCGCGCCGCCCTCGCCGCCCCCCACGCTGCTGGATGAGGTGGAGCCGCTGGACCTGGAGAGCTTAGCCGCCTGGCGGGACGAGGACGACTACACCTGGTATTGCCCGGTCCCGCGCCCTGCCCCAGACCCGGCTTTCGGGGCCCGGGAAGCGGGGGGCGGAAGCCGGGGTGGCCTAGCGAGTGTCGAGTCAGGTGACGAGCCGAGGCTTTCACGGAGGCAGAAACCTGTTTTCTGATCGCTCCCGGTGGAGATGAATTGGTCCCCTCCATCTGCCTCGTGCTCCATCTGATGACTGTTGAGTCCCCAGCTCCTCGTTAGCTGTGATTGCAAATTCCTTGTCATGATGTCTTGTTGCTGAATCCTGTTCTTTTTTTGCCCAGTCTTTTTTGGGGGTGGGGGGGAGTGACGGGGGATGGGTAGGGGTTGGCCTCCGTCTGCCACTGTTACTGTTCTTTCCTTCCAAACGAAGGCTGGACAGGATTTGCGTGCTGTCCCTCCTCTGGTGGCAAACCAAGCCGGCTGGTGATGGATACCTCCTCAGAGATTCGTTCTCCCTCTTTGAGCTCTAGGGTCTCATGCCCTCTTTCGCTGCATTTTCATTGATATTTCTTTTCACAGACCGATTTGCTTTTTAAAATGTGGTGACCTCACCGTCACAAGTAACAGTGACAACAATGAGGGCTTTTCAGGGAGTGAACAGGTTGAGGGCACTTTTGTTTTTTTTAAAAACCTAGTAACCAGGGAACTCTCTGTAGTTGTTTTATTATTATTATTATTAAACTGTAGTTTGAAGAAAAGTGAGATGGGAGAAACCGTATTTTCTTAGAAGCCTTTTAGACCCCGTGGTTATCGGAGACCTCGAGACTTTCAGTTGCAATCTGGTTAGCTCTCCTTACTTTCTTGAGTAACTTCTGGAGTAGCTGTCTAATTCCTTTATTATGTACTTTTCCTACTGCGTGGTCGTGGGTACTGGTCAGTTCATGACCGACTTTCTCTGGATAGTTTCTTCCTTTTCCTGGTCACTAGACATAGTGGGACACGGTCAGAAGCAGAAGCTTCAGAGGACGTGGAAGTTGGTGTTCATGGAAGGAAAATGAACAGCATTCACCTCCACAGAGCAGCGTGGGTCTCCTTCATCTCAGGTCCTTTTGTTTAGGACCCTTCCTATTTTGCCAAGCTGAGTTTTTCTTACCTTTTTGTGTTCTGTTGCATAATTGCGCAGAAGGGCGTGGGAGATGGAGATATTACTAGTTTCCTTGTGGGAACTACTGTGTTCTTTCATCTTCACACTTCCCTGTGAGCACTCTAAAGGACATTCACTGATGGGTTTGATTCAAGAAAAAAAATAATAAGAAGTCTTTCAGAGGCATATTCAGCATCCTCCTTCATACCTTTTGGCAGCTATGCAGGCAGCTCAAGTTGTAAAAATCAACATGCCACTTAAAGCTACTCTTTAGAAGCTGCATCTTTATTTCCATAAAACTCAGGTTGTATTGTAATCTCAGTTTCAGCCTGAATATGGGATTGGAAAATGCTCTCCTGATGGTTCTTAGGTTTTGACAAATAACGACAAGCCTTTTGTTGCTTTCAAGTTATTTTAGATTGACTTAAATTCCCTCTTTGGGTTTTCTGATTGCTATGTCTGAAAACAGTGTAAGGAAATTTGTTTGTATTTTCGATGCGGCAGTATATGGAATCAATCCTATGCTTTAAAAAAATGAGCATTTTTGCTTTATTTTTTAGTTAGATTAGTAATCCAACATAACTTTTCTTATGTAGGGGCTTCTCCCATTTTTAGTTATGCAACTATTGCTAGTATGTTGACATGTAGGCTTTTAAAAATAATTTACATTTTGTCCAAATAGTATTGAAATAACAAAAATCACTTGTGTAGTGGGATTACCATAGTCGCTCTTCAGATGATTTGAAGCAAATCAAAATTGAAGCATGTTCTATTAATTGTAATCATCATTTGTAGGTGAATATATCAAATCAATGCCTTGATGCTTTACCAATGTTTCTATAGACAAAAGGCACACAATCTAGAGTATCTTACTCAAAACAAACCTAGAATTAGAATCCCAGGTGGGAAAACAAGGAGGGATCATTAATCTTACTGGGATGGACTTAAAAGTTTTAAGGTTCCTGGATTTACAGAACATTTATCATTACACTTTATGCATGCAGATATTTTTGAATTGTAATGCTTTGGCATATTGATGAAAAATAAACAGGGTTTAGTTTTTAAAGTTTAACCCACATGCTAATGCTTGCAGAGAGAGCTGAAGTTTCTTTTTCACTGCAGACTAGGATGTCTCTGTCACGTGGTCTTACAAATAGAATGCTTTTCATTTGGATTGCCTGATGTTTGCAGGATGGCAACTTATTTTTATTTCCTGCGTTTATTAAGAAATAACGTGAGTGGGTGTATAGGACCTGATTATATTAAAAATATTCAAAACTAAAAGTTTTGTACTTCTCATTACAAAAAGAAAGTTGATATATGTCCCCAGTCTATTATTATGACTCTCTGTTATGCAAATCACTATACAAACATGTACACGTCAGGTTTTTTTTTTATCCTTTCACTGAGTGTATCTTGGACATCTTTGTCTATGTAGCTCCACCTCTCCCTGTAACAATTGTAACATTGTGTTAGGGACCAAGTTGCTGTAAACTGTATCACCTACAATTTTTTATTCAGTTTTCATGATTTCATCCTAATGAGTTAAACAGAATGGATATTGGATTATTTAGAATAGTATTTTTGGCTAAAATGTCATATCCACACAAGAATGTTTACAAATGTAGATTAATCACTGAATAGTTTAGAATTTCTTTTCATGTAAGTGTATCTTTAATAAAACCTTAGACAATAATTAATCCCCTTGTATTAACAACTTGGATGAAATTGGGATCAAGAATTGTACAACCAAGGAAAATCATAAATAATAGAAATAATATTTACTTCATGGTAGTTCCTTAGTGAGTAATCAGTCAGGTCTCTTTTAGGTCTTTTTGTCTATTCTGAGCAATTATTTACCTTTGAGTATTATTTTTTTTTAATGTTCATGTAAAAGAATGTGCTGCTTTTCATTTAGATGAAAAGCTTTGAAAGAAGGATTTTCTTATTTCTTCAAATATTTATCTCACTTGAATTAAGACCTGGCTATCTTAGCACAGGGCTACTAGAATTAAGTGTCTCAGAAAACTGATGGCAGTTCCAGAACCTCAATTCTCAAGTCCAGTTATTAGGGCCCTAATGTCACATCCTGCTGTACTGGTTCTTCACTATTTTTGGTAGCATTACCTCTCCATAGGCTACAAAGTAAAAGCAGAAACTATTAGAAGTAAATAAAAAGCTCAATAGGAATAAAATCTTGCTACATACATGGTTATGGTAAGACTAGATGCTTCTTGCCTTTGTGGAAGAAGTGTTTAAGGCTCATATTTCTGTCCCAGGGTCTGCAGGTTGAGGAGGTCCAAAGTACAAACAGAGGAAGTCAGACTGGTCTGAATTGGCGAGGCAAGCCACATTAACTGCAGATTAGATCTTCTTATGACCTGTCTCAGCTCCCTTATGTGAATGTTGAGAGACAGAAGTTCTGAGGTGAAATGACTTATGTAAGCTCTTCTAGTTAGTTACTTATAGAGTTCAGATGAAAACTCAGGTTATATATATAGATTCAGAAGTGTACACCATGGATATTTTTGTCCTCCAAAGCTAGATTGTAACCCATTAGCAGATGATAAAGTGTGAATTGGCTTGCATTTTTTTTTGGTATGATTTTAATGAGGTGCAGAAGAATAAGTTAATCACATCTTGCATTATAATGCTTGTCTTGGTTAAACTTGTTTCACTTCTATACATGTAAAAGATTAAATATATTTGTGCATTATGATCAAAGTTAGAAAAACTCCAGTTTATACTGTTTGAAAGCAAAATGGACTTAGAGAACACAGATGGAAAAGCACAACTACTTGAAGATAGGGTAGTTAGTACTCTGGGGTAAGTCAGGTCTTGTACATTTCAACCCGGAAGACAGTTCTATGTATGAAAATGCCAAGATAAAAACACGCCAGCCAAGATAAGGAGGTTTTGTGTTAGTAGAATGACAATTAGCAGAACATTGAGGCTAGGGAAAGAGGATATAGTAAGGATTTGAAATTTGCTCAACTCAGAAAGACAATAGAAAAGTTATTACAAGGGAAAACATTTTAAGGTGTACAGATTAAATCTAATGAATGAGATATTCATCTTTCAAGTGTAATACCAGGACCCCAGACATCTGGCTAAAATCATTGCCAGTTTTTCATCAAAGCTGTTGAACACCTTGTGCTATACATATGGCATAGCTAAATTAGACCACCTAAACTGTTTTTTTTTTGCCTAATTGATTTTCAGAGAAAAGACCAGAGGGTACTTCACTTTCTGACAATGCTAATTGAAAATGCACAGTTTTTTCCAAGAGTGAATGGAGTTGACTGAAGTATGTGAAGATGTGAGTTTTAAATGAGTCACTTTGAAACACTGCTGCAAAATGCTGAAGTTGCAATTTAGCTTTAATTGAGTTAGGTGGGGCCGAGTGGGCTCCTGCAGGGAAAGTTTGCTATAGGACAATTCTGTCACTAAAGTGTGGACTCCACAGATGCTTTTTAGTAGCTTGGTGGTGGTAAGCTTTGCAGTGGCTGCACAGTTTGATCCTAGCAGGTGGTGGTGAATCAAATACTGTTTAAGCATTGGTCGTGTTTATCAGTCCTGGTATTTTAGCTTCCTTAGACTACAACTTGTGGTGATGGAAGGCTCTTAAAATTATTTGTCTGAAAATTACCACGTATTATTTGTCAGTGAAAGGTCTACAGATTTGTACAGTATATGTAGCTAGCTTGCTGTACTATTGGTTTTTGTGTTATCTGCCAAAGGATGCCTTTAGAACCAAATGCTTTTTTGAGAAGAACAGATTTTTCCCATGACAGCCATAATACTTCGTAAGAAACATTCAGGGTTATTATGGTGGGCTGTGTGTTTTTGACCTCCCAGTGTTATCTCATGTATTATGTCAGGGGTCGAGAATGTGACCTGTTTGGAAAAGAAG